TGAGTGTGAGCACAGAGCCGGTTTCTGCCATACACAGTACACTACTGGCCCTGTCAGCCACTTTGAGAGTAAGGTCACTTTCCCTGCATTGTGGTAGACACACTCAGGGTGGAAATAGAATCTTCTGGAAAATGGCGGGCCTTCCTTCAAGATCACCGTCATAGTCACTTTCCTCTGTGTTCTTGGTATCCCTTTGTGGCTATGAAAGCCCATGGATTTCCAAATTAGTTATATTAATTCCCTTAGTTAACCATGAGAATCTCCACCCATTGTCCCCTCAAGGCCCCAGAGGAGAGTAGAAATGATTGTCAGATTTAATGCTGTTGCGTCAACAGCAGTAGTTGAACATTCTAGTTAGACTATAGCTCTTCCTGAACCCTTGAGGAATTTAAATTTGCAATTCTAAGGTTCTGAACCCTCCTCTAGTAAGTACTGAGCCAAGATTGGCTGCACCAAGATCTCTATCGTTCTTTCAGTTCCTGATTGTGTTCATGGATGGTGGTAAATTTGCTGGTCGGAGCAGATTTTATCAGTAAGTAAATAACCACCTTGGCCTTTGTATTGATCTTAACAGAAAGATGATTTCATACAAACTGAAAGAATTGTTGAATTATAAAAAATTCGGATGCAAAATCCTGCAGACTGATAGCATTAACTTTTCAGGGAGCACTTTATATAATAAGATACTCTCCAAATTCAATGTTTACCCCTTCATGTCCAGCCATTGCTGAAATTTGCCCCCAGGATGAACTTGGAAGGTCAAAGCAGCAGATTTCCTAAAGTGTCTGCCTAAGGAGACAGGAGGGTAGGGCAGGGAGAGGTCTTGCTGAAGGAGCTCTGTGATGCCAGGAACTCTCTGTGGACCAAGGGCTGGTTTAGGAAGGCTTTGTTATACCTTAAAAACTCAAGCTTGCTATGGAAAATGGTGCAGCCACTGTGGAAAACAGTTTGGTGGTTGCTCAAAAAGTTACACGTAGAAATACCATATGACCCAACAATTCTACTCCTAGGTATATACCCAAAAGAATTGAAAATGGGTATTCAAATAAATACTTGTACATAGATGTTCAAAGCATTATTTACACTAGCCAAAATGTGGAAACAGCTCAATGTCCATTCATGGATGAACAGATACACAAAATGTGGTATATCACTCCAATGGAATATTGTTCAGCCATCAAAAGGAATGGCATGCATGTTACAATGTGGATGAAACTCAAAAACATTATGCTAAGTAAAATAAGCCAAAACATATTGTATGATTCAATTCATATGAAATACTCAGAATAGGAAAATCCATAGAGACAGAGGGCAGATTGGTGGTTGCCAGAGGCTAGGGGAGGAGGGAGGAATAGGAAGTGACTGATTAATGGGTACAGGGTTTCCTTTCAGGGTGATGAAAATTCTTTGGAATAAATAGAAGTGGTGGTTGCACAACATTGTGAGTGTACTAAATGGCACTGAATTGACTTTAATATGGTTAATTTTGTTATGTGAATTTTACCTTAACAACAACAAAAATTCCTCAAAACTCAAGTTTGTTTCAGAATCACTGGGCTGTGGAGTTTCAGTTCTATTAAATCCTGACTGCTCTCACTTCCCACTTGGTTTTCAGAGTGTCCCAATTGTGGGGTGTCGGTGTTGGTGCTATGAGCGCATCAAGGGTAATGGATACTTCTAGATTTTCCCACAATGCCGCATGTAGGACTGTGCTCCATGTGGGAAAAGAGGCAGTTAAGAACAACAGGCCCAATCCCTTGCTTTTGTTAAGAATAGGAAAAACAGGGCCGGCTGAGTGGCTCAGCTGGTTAAGAGCTCGCTCAAGAGTGCAAGCTCTGAGCAACAGCGGTTCGGTTCCCAGCCCGAGCTGAGCTGGCACTGTGCTGCCAACAGGTGGCAGGATGGCTCAGTTAAAAAAAATAAAATAAAAAATAAAATAAAAGAGTAGGAAAAACAGCATTTCACCAGAACTTTGGAGTCTCTGTTTTAAGAGGCCCAGAACTATTACTTCCTCAGAGTTCTCAGGATTGCCCGGTTGCAGATTGAATGCCTCAGAACGAATAACCAGGCTTGTTAATTTAGTCCTTCCAGTAAATTCTTGAATCCAGATGCTCAGAGCTTTCTGTGGTGAACAGGACGATGGTTGCTGTTTGCGAACGTGAGGTGGTCAGCTTTAGTGTATTCCGGCCTGGGAATAGTATGGGGTGGGGTGAGCTGTTAAGGACTCTCTGGGCTTATGAACATTCAGCTGTGAGGAGGTGTAATTAGTGATGTAGAACTTTACTACTCGAAATGTGGCCTCCAGGCCAGCAGCAGTGCATCGCCTGGGAGCTTGATAGACATACGGAATCCCAGGCTCCATCCTAGACTTCCTGGGTCAGAACCTGCATTTGCGCGAGATGTGGAGGTGAGCTGTGTGCACACGGCAGTTTGAGCCGCACCAGTGTGGAAGGCTGAACGTGGACACTTTTTCTTGGAGTTCTGTGTCCCCTTTCTCCATGGAGGAGCCTTCCTGGCTCTGCCTGGCTAGAATTTATCGCCAGTTTATATCTGACTCCCCTACGGAATTGATCGAAGAAGTTTCTCATTGACCGGGAACTGGAGGGTCATGAAAGGAAATTGGGGAACGGGTAGAATATGAAAAAGTGGTTCTTGATTTGAGACTTTACCATTTACCTTGAAACATGTGACTGAGCTCGGAGTCTAGAAAGCTTTGCTTATAGAGGCAGGTGAGTCAACCTTTTTTTAACCCAAATCGTTAACCATGAGTTTTCGGCCATCCTGGTCTAGTCCTTGGCTCAGGTTTTCTGTCCGCTTATCTCCCTTAGGTAATTATTTTAAATGGAGAAGGATAGACATAAGGGAAAGGTGTTTATTTCCCTTAAATGGATATTTTCTAATAGAATTGGTGATGAAAGACAGCATAATTTTTGTTGATGTGATTTTCCCAGCACGGGTTTCCGTAGTCCTGGGCCTTCTGGTAGAACATTAAGTTTTTGTTTGTTTGTTTCTTCTACTTTATGAGATATTACATCATTTTTCCTCTAAAAAAAGAAAAAAAACACCTTGGAAAACTTTTGAGGCATAGGTAAGCCTGGGTTATGAATTCTAAATCGAATTCTGATTGTTCAGAAACATTATTTATATATTAAAAACAGCTAAAATATTGGTATTGTTTTTGAAGGGAGGTATTAAAAAATTCAGTATTGGCTTTTAGTGTGTTTTTACCTGTATCTCTGTTACAAAAGTGAAATTTCACCAGCACAGCCTGATCACATGACCTTTGAGCTGATTTGTCTTTATTCAATTAATTGAGTGTCCATTAATTTGGAATTTTTGAGATGGAGAAGTGAGATCCGGATCAGGGATCAAGAGCCTGGTTAAAGTTTAGAGTTCTCTGCTCTGCAGCTGGGCATGTCCTGGGCCCTGATGTGGTCGTGTCTAAAGGGGAGGAATTGGACCAGATCCATGATTTCCCTGGGAACAGGGGCTCTCTGAGCAGGTTGTGTGTGTATCAGTGTTTATCAGGCTCTTGGGTGTGGGGAGCATGTGTTATTTGAGAATGCGTAGTACTGTATTTCTTTATTTGAAAAATGGAATTTTTTTTTTTTTAAAGTAGCACAGTGCAAAGCGTGCTACAATCTTGGCTAGTTACCCCAGGATGGCAGGATGGGAACATGTGGGGCTAGCAGTTAGTGGCAAGTAACAATATTTAGTGAGTACTGCATGCTAGGCACTGTTTTAAACTTTTGGGGTATTTGAGATCTGTCTCTACATATCCTCATTTATATCTCACAAAACCCTAGAAGATCTGTAATGTTACACGAGCAGACAGAGCAGAAAGGTGAAGCATCTCGCTGAGGTTTGCTACCTCTGCATTTGTAATCTGATATGAATCCAGATCAATTTTATCTATATTTTACCTTCTGGAAAAAAAGGAGTTTTATAATATGTGTAAATGGTATGAAACTGCCCCTCAATCTCCAGATGCCAAAAATTAAACAAAAAAAAAAAAAAGAAGAAGAAAAAAACATCACATATTTTCCTTTAAGTCCAATTAAATTTGGTTCAGAGTTCCACTTGCAGAGACTGATGAGTTGTTCAGTATCAAAAGTCACTGGGGGATTCCTTCTCCACCGACGCAATTTGGCTAGAAAATTCTGAGGGCCTCATTCTCACTCCATCATGGTGGTGTCAAGGTGCTCATTGGCCAAGCCTGCATTGCCCATTTGAGAGTGGCCAATCACTGTGTTTATTCCCTCCACGCTCACCTTGGCCGCCATGTTCTCTCCAGGGCCCCAGAGGCCAAGGCTTTAAGGTGTCAGCCCCCAGGCGTCCACATGTCCCATCTTTCCAGAGCTTCCCCTTCCCCTGCCCGGCAGCTGCACAGACCCAGAGCCTGGTACAGATACAGACATAGGGTGCCAATGGACACAGCTTCCTGAGGGGGAAGAGAACTGTACCTTCTGTTCTTTCATTATAATCTTATAGGGAAATAGTACATTTCTCTATCAGATTATCTTCCTGCTTATAAATGGCAGCAAGCAAGATTTAACATGATTTAAGCAATTTTATTAGTGTCCAATTTACATTTCTCATGTTAGATGAAAGTATCTAGGTTGACTAAATTGAGTTAACCTCAGTTCGTTGCTTGTGCTTTCCACGTGATGCTGGGTAAATGAATTGAATTCTTTAGCCCCCTGATTCATCTTGTATAAAATGAGTATAATAATAGTTTCTAGCCCACAGAGGGTCCTGGGGGATCAGCTTTAACAAAGACACTTATTTGGAGGATGGCAATGAGACCAGCCAAGCAGGAGGGGAGAGTGCAAGCGGTTGGGGGTTGCGGTGGGGTAAAGGCTGCAAGTGTGTAAATGCCATTTTATAGAGTTTGGACTCCCACTGGCCTTCTTTCCAGTTGTTTTATTAATTGCAGTTTGTGTTCTGCCTCACACATATACTGAAGTTTCTCTGATACATCCCTCTTTTGGCCTATTTAGGACCGTACCGACTTTGAGTGGAGCTTCTGGATGGAGTGGGGGAAGCAGCGGCTGGCGTGGCTTCTCCTTGGTCACCTGGCTGTGTCTCAAATGGCCAACCAGATTGCAAGGAAGGTACGCTTATGTGCATAATTTCCTTTTAAGCCTCGTTCTGCTTTGCTTTTTGTGAAGAGTCCTGAGGTAGGAATCAGTAGACATGGGTATTAGCCTCAGAAACCTGGAAGAGAAACAAGAAAGAATTGTTAATGACCATTAAGCCATTTAAGATAAAGGTTTCATACATTCTTATCCTACACCTACTCCCTCCAAGTTATTTTTCAAACCAATGAATATGAAGGTTTGAAAGTAAAACGCACTTTAGATGGTGTTCTTTAAGGTCATTTCAAATCAAATGATCTTATTTAGAAAACTGCCAGTTGTTGAGACTCTATGTGATTTTGCTTATAAGTTCAAAAGAAACTAAAGTGCATGATTTCGTAAAGAAGTGGGAATACATAGTTTTAATATCAAGTCCTTTATGCGGCAGTAACTGTTGCAGATCAGAATTCCTGTGGTATTTCACTCTTGCTTTGGCCTGGATTAGAGAGCAAGAGATTCTTCAAAGTGGATGTTTGAAAAGCGCGTGAGGCCGACTTGAGACCCTCTTCCATGTGCTTAGCTACCAAGGGACCTGAGATATTCAGGAGGGTCTTCCCGTAGTGTAGGGACCAGGCTTTCTCTAGCGTCCTCAGATACCTGCTTCTTGCCTCTGTAGATTCCTAATCTGACAGTAACGAGTCTGTGCTTGGAAATCTAATCAGCAGAAACAAAACACAACTGAAAACAGACTTGCAAGTCAACCCAGGAAAAATGTTGGATTCGTAGAGGTTCATGGCAGTGAAGAAACTGAAGGGACAGATGAAGCAAGATCCTCTGGTTGACACAGACCAGAACGTGAGACTGAGAAAACAGGGTGACATGTGGTTAGAGATGTGCACCCAACTAGGGCTAGGTTTTAGCTCTTTCCTGAAAATCGGTACTCTCTGGGCTGGCTTCTCATCCTAGAATATAGGAAATTTCAACAGCACACTAACTTTCTTTGTTTTAAATATGATATTGATTACTATTTTGTACTAAAGTTTCCATCTTCTAAAGTAGCAAAAACTAAAATATTAGATGCTGTCAGAGCTGAATATATTTTAACATTTCATATGTCTTTTTTCAGTTTTATTGCATTATAACTGACATACAGCACTGTATAAGTTTAATGTGTACAGCATAAGGACTTGACGTACATATATTGCGAAATGATTACCACAGTAAGTTTAGTTGACATCCATCATCTCATATGTGTGTGTTATGTGCTGTTGAGTCAGTGACCCTATGAATGAGTGGCATCCACAGTGTCCTGTCCTCACAGCCCTGCTCAGCTCCTGTAGACTGATGCCTGTGGCTTCTTTAATCGAGCCCATCCATCTCACATTTGGTCTTCCGCTTTCCTGCTGTCTTCCATTTTTCTCTGCATTACTGTTATTTTCAAAGAACCTGCCTTCTCATAATGTGCCCGAAGGACAGCTTCCATTTTGTGATTTTTCCCTCCAGTGATGTTTCAGGCTTAATTTGCTCTGGGACCACTTATTGGTCTTTCTGGTGGCCTAGGGTATCCACAGTGCTCTCCTCCAACACCATGTTACAAATGAATCAATCTCATATAAATGAATCATCTCATGTAGATGCAAGGAAAAAAAAGAGAAAAAAGAAAAAAATGTTCATTTTCCTTGTGATGAGAGCTTTTAGGATCTCCTGTCTCAGCAACTTATAATTATGCCATGCAGGAGTGTTAACTACAGCCATCATGCTGTACATTATCTTTTCATTGGAGGTTTGTACCTTTTGACCGCATTCATCGAATTTCATATAACTTTGTGAGCAGACCTCCTAATAAATAATATATTTTTTTTGTATTCCCAAACCAGTAATGAGTATACCTACTTCAGCCTTCATTAATGAATTTCTTTTCTTCCCCACGTTTGTTTGGTGTCTTTTTGAAGACTGCAAAATTTCTAGAAATTTTACACTTTTGTTTTTAACACAAAGTTTCTCTCTGCCCAGAGGTAAATGACTTACTACCTTAGGCCTCAGTTTTCCCATCTGTAAAATGAATAGCTTAATACCTGTCTTGTCTTTTTTTTTTTTTTTTTTTTAAGCTGAGCCATCCTGCCACCTGTTGGCAGCTCAACGGCCACTCAGCTCAGGCCGTGAATTGAATCGGCAACCCTGTTGCTCAGAGCTCGCACTCTTGAGTGGGCTCTTAACCAACTGAGCCACCAGCCAGCCAATACCTGTCTTTTCTACCTCTGTGAAGGGAAGATGAAATAGTTTGAGAAGGATCTGTGAAATGTATCCAGGATCACTACTGCTGTTGTGGATAAGGGCCAGTTGTAGTGGAGTGGAAGAGAGAGAGAGACGATGCGTTAGGTTCTGGGCTTTCTCTCCGATTAGCTTTCTAACCTTAGGAAAGCTTTTCACCACTGACTCTTAACTCATCATTTTTTGTGTAGTACGGTTGATGAGACGATATTTTTCCCAGTTAAAATATGGTGAGTTTCATTTGTTAAAAAGTTCATTAAAAAGTAAGGATGAAGCATAGAAAAGTTAGGACAAATAAAAAGCACAAAAGAAATGACAGAGATAAATTATGCAAATCTATCAGTAATCACAATCAATATGAATGGACCCAATTCTCCCCCCCTCCCCACCTGCCCCCAAATGATTTTCAGACTGGATAAAAGAAAAACAACAGAAATAAAGGAAAATAAACAAAGAAATAAAACAGAGTCCAGAGATGGTCTTCTTAGCAAGATATACTTAAAACAGAAGGACACAGAAAATCTGAAAGTAAAAGGATGGGCAAAGACGTTCCAGACAAATATAAGACTCTCCTCTCCTCCCGCCCACCCAAATACTGGTGCAGTTTTATTAACAGCGGGCAAGGAGCATGATTAGTGACAAAGAGGGTTATTGTTTAATGGCAAAGAGTTCATTTTATTGGGAAAACAATTCTAAGTTTGTTTGCTTCAAAATATATAAAGCAAAAGTTGATCAGTGCCATAAAGATAAAGAGATAAATTGATGATTGTATGGAGAGATTTTAACATAATTTCATCACTAATTGATACATAGAAAAAAAACAGTAAGGAGCAATACAATTAATACGCTTGATATAAGAAACATATATAAATTATTGCATCTGACAACTCTAGAATTCACATTCTTTTAAAGAACACATAGAATATTTATAAAAATTGACCACATACTTGACCATAAAGTAATTTTCAACAGGTTTTAAAGGGTGTGTTTTATATAGGTTACCGTCTCTAAGGTAGTTGCAGTGTAGTTAAGTTGGAAACCAATAACATGATGACCTGAGAACTCCTAATTCATTTAGAAATTTAAAAAGAAGACATACTTTTAAATAATTCATAGGTCAAAATAGAGATTATAGTGGAAATTAGGAAATAGTTAGAAATGAATGAAAAATATGTTACATATCAAAACTTGTAGGGTGTGGCTAGAGTGGGACTTAATTGGAAACCATAACCCTACCTGCTCATATTAAAAAAGAAGAAAGGCTGGCAATTAATGAGCTAAACATACAACTTAAGAAGTTGTAAAAGAATAGCAGAAAAAAAGAAACAAGAAAGAAAAAGGAATGCAAGAACAAAATAAGAGCAGACATGAATGAAATAATCAATGGTAAGATTGGTGAAGGAAAAAAAAAAGAAAATGCACAAATAACCAATATTAGGTATGGAGAAGCAGATGAAAAAATATATAGTAAAAGACTATTTTGTACAACTTTATGCCAGCAATTTTGAAAACTCTTGCAAAGCAAACACATTTTTAGAAAATATAACTTACCAAAACTGACTTATGAAGAAATAGGACTGAATAGTGCTATAACCATGAAAAGCAATCGAATCAGTAGCTAAAAATCTTTTTGTAAAGAAAACACTAGCCTAATACACCACTTCTGCCAAACATTCAAGGCATAAGGTATTTAAATGTTTCCCAGACTTTTTCAGAAAAGAGAAAAAGGGGGAACATTCATTTCATGAAGATAGCATAAAATGGATGCCAAAGTCGGAGGATATACTCGACCAGATATTATGACTTATATAAAAATATAATAATTAGGACATTGTTATGTCGACACCAGGATAGACAAATAGACTAATGGAAATACTTGTGCCTAGATGGAAACTTGATTCCTGACAGAACTGGCCTTTCAGATCTGTGTGGAAAAGATGAACTATGTCATAAACAGTGCTGACACAGTTGTTCAGTCATACTAAAAAGAAGTGCATTGAATAATGTACCTCATGCCACCCACAATCATTTTCATGGTGAACTGTGGACTTAAAATAAAAACCAAAAGTGTAACACTTTTAGGATGATACAGGAGAATCATGTTAGAGCAGAGAAAGGTTTCTTAAACAAGACACACAAAGTACAAATTGTAGAGGAAAAATGATATATTTGCATTCAAACTAAGAGCTTATCCACGTAGCCCCCAGTGAGAATGTGGAATGTGGATGAACTCCGTGCTCTTGGCTGGATGCCCCTCTCTCTTTCCAAACGTCCTCCATTTCCAGCTCCTATTGTGCACCCCCCTGAAATCTACCTTGATGAGGACACAGATGCCCCTCCATTTACTTGGCCTGTAACGTTGAGTTAATCCCCTTTCCATATTTGGAGGCAGCGTTCGGAGTGGCTCGAAGCACTTGGATGCACCCCACGTTTGCTTCTTTGAAGCTGGGCAGCCCTAAGCGAGTTAATGTCTTTGAGTCTGTTTTCTCATTTGTGTAGTAGTGATGGTAGCGCTTACTTCTTGGGGTAGTGTTGAGAGTCCGATGTACTTCAAGGTTACGCCCACATATGATGAAAGCCAAGTTAAGTGCTAGCTGCTGAGTCGTCTGCTGGCGTTTAGCATGTGCCGAGACTGTGGTCTGCGCATGCTCCTGGGAGCTGTCCCCTTCACGGTGTTCAAGAAAGGAGGTTCCCAAGCTTCCGAGGGCACAGGCTTTCTGTTGCATCATACCAACATTCCTCTCAGGATTGTCTTTCTCTGACCC